AGATATTAGGAAGTTTGAAGCTTAATAATGGAGCTCTGTGCATTGTGCTTTAAGGCTTACAAGCCGGTATTGTATTGGAAATAAGCAAGCATTGTTTTAACCAAAGGTATGTGTGCTTATAGTGGTTAGACAGAACTACTGTCAATGTGCTTTTGGTTTTTGTGATTGGTCAAGAAACTTATAAAGTAAGTTGTAACATTAAATTCTTGGTCTGCTGCCTGAGATGTGAGCTGGTGGCATCTTCCCATTGTCATAGCTGTGGAATGAGACTGATGCTGAAAAATAAAACAGCTCAAGGCACGTTCCACAGCAGCCCCATCCCGTTTGTGATTTGTACATAGCCCCCTGCCAGCGTCACTGTGCAGTCAGCAGCAGCTCTGGAAGGGGGAACTTGTCATCAGACAGGACTTTGTCTCATTTCTAGGACAAAGCTGTGGGTGCTGGCTGCCAGCGATTTCAGCATGGCTTTGTCCAGCACTGAGGGTGAGGCCTGACCCAGCTGGATGTCAGCTTTCTCTTCTTCCCCTTTTCTCCTCAGGGGTGAAGCACCAGATCCGGGTTCACCTGGCCTATGGCTTGGGATGCCCCATCCTGGGGGATCACAAATACTCACACTGGAGCAAACTGGCGCCCCAGGTAAGGCAGGTCTTGCACTGGGGAGCAGCTGGAGCTGGATACAGCCCCTTGTGTCCCCCAGCTGCTCGTGGGCTGGGGATTTCAAGTCCCAGCTGAAAAGCTGCAGTTTTGAGGGGAACATTTTCTGTCCTTGCTGCAGAAGCTTCCTGAGCTCACCCTGAGGAGGCTGAAGCTGGAGCAGAGCAAGGCTCGGCACCTGCCCCTGCACCTGCACGCCCAGCGCCTCTCCCTGCCCCTGGGCCAGCCCTTGGACTTTGTCTGCAAGCTGCCCCCCTTCTTCCAAAAAACCCTGAGGAAGCTGGAGCTGGACATCCCCAAGGACTGACAAGGCAGGACTGGAATGGTGCCATGTATCTCCACATCTCCAGCGCGTGGCAGCAGCTGTGCCTACCTTGGAGCCAGTGGTGGGGTGAAGCCTCTGTCTCTGTGCTGGTGCTGATGCTGCTGGATTCAGAGTGGGCCCAGGAAAGCACCTGGACATACTGAGGAGCCTCTAGGAGAGACAAACATGGCTGGGTGAAAGTTGGGCTTTGCCTGATTTGTGTTTTGAACTTGTCTCTGGGCAATAAAAGCTTCAATTCTCTTGAGGGAAGGTGGTGTGTGTCTCTGTGCTCTGGCTGGGTGGGACTCAGTCCCTGTGTAGCTTTGAGCAGACCTGGTTGCAGCTCCTCCCAGATTGTGGAACTGTCACTTATCTCTCCAGTGTTGCTTAGCTCAGATTTGGAGAGTCCCTTCACTGGAAAATCCATCGAAAGTGCAATTTGGCAGTGGCTGTGGTATTTTTTTGCTGTGTTGAGAAACTGCACAGGGAGTTGCTGGGCTGGGCTGAGGAGCTCTGAGACTGCCCCTGCTCTGTGCTGCCAGCAGCCTTGGTGTGGGTTTCTCAGCACTGTGCTGCTGTAACTACTGTTCTGTAACTGCTCCTTCAGTTACCCTATTCCTTATTTTTAGAATCCCTTGTTGGGGTCCCCTGCCCTTGGAAGATTTTCTTGGGGCCAGATTCTTCCCTCTGTGCCCTGAGAGGGAGGCAAGAGGAGGGATCGCTGATATGGGGAATTGCAGATGTTTTGCCTCACAATTACCTCATTTGGTGTCTCCTGACCGACAGGAGAGGAGCTTGGAGCTGGGCACCAGGATGTTCTCTGGCGGGTTTGGATGCTGTGAAGGGAATTTTCCCCCCAGGGCCACTGTGTATCTGGCTGGGGCTTTTTGCTGTGGGAGGGCTCAGTCCCCTGGCTCCCTGCTGAAAATAGCTGGGGACCCCCATGCCCTGGGGCCACAGCGCCAGAAATCTGCTGGCTGATGAGAGAGGGCGGTAAAACCACGGGGAGCCAGGAGCGGCTGCGGCGGGGNGACCCAGGTGCAGCACCTGCCCTTGGCCTTGTTCAACCTCATGAGATTCCCCAAGGCCACTGACTGAGCTTGTCCCGATCCCTCTGGATCCCAGGCTGCCCCTCAGCCATGGAGCAGGAGCTCAGGGAAGGCGAGCACGTTGCTGCAGGTGCCAGTGCAGGTCTGTGTGAGAGCCAAGAGCTGTTTAAACCCCAGCACTGGTGTCTCCTTCTCTCCTCAGATTCCCAAGGACCCGACGCAGCGATGGCTCCGGGAACTCACTGCAATGAGCCAGCAGCTGCAGCAGGTTCACCCCAACGTCCTGGCCAAGATCCTTAAGCAAAGAACTCTGTACCAGAATGAGGAGATTGTGGTGATAGACAAACCCTACGGGCTCCCTGTGCACGGTGAGGGCGAGTGGGAAATGGAAATGGCTCTGTGGTACTTATGGTGATCCTCTGTCTCTGCCCTTCCTATGCTGGGGTTTCCTTTCCCAGGGAAGGTTCCAGGGGCTTGGTCACTGTCAGATCTCGGCCTTCCCCGGCATTTTGGGCTGATTTAGGGTGTGTGGGGAGCACAAGAGGTGAGACTCCTTGCTGCCCTGGGTCACACAGGCGGCCCCGGCATCAAGAACTGCATCGCTGATGTGCTGCCCATTTTGGCCAAGATGCTGGAGAACATGAGAGCTGAGCCCCTCCACCTCTGCCACCGGCTGGACAAGGAGACCACGGGTGTGATGGTGCTGGCACGGAGCAAGGAGGCAGCAGAGAAGATCCGTCTGCTCTTCAAAACCCGTCAGGTGGAGAAGATCTACTGGTAGGAAAGGCGTGAGTGAAGATGGGGCTGTGAAAGGCCTTTAAAAAAGGGTGTGGGGATTTTGTAGAAGGGTGTTGCTTATTTCCCCCTTTCAGCACCATTTTATGGGACTGGGTCGTGGGAGAGGGGCTGAGGGGAGGGTTCCCCTCCTGTGAGAGCAGCACCCCACAGACCTCTGCTTTCCCTTTCCAGGGCAATTGTCCTGGGGGACCCGGACCCTGTTGAGGGCGTTGTGGAGATCCCCATTGTGGAGAAGGAGGTGAAGAGCCACCAATCCCACTACAAGGTGAATCCTGCGTTCCCTCAGCCGCCATTCTGGCCAGGCAGCCCCAGCATCCCCTCCTGCCTCCCCCAACTCCCCTCTCCCCACCCTTAGATGACGCTGGCTCCCCGGTTCCGCGTGCGTGCGGAGG